TATAGCTTTTTTCACCCTTATCTCCTTGTCAGATTAAGAATATTTTTCGACAATAATCCCCACTCATTCATTCTTAAATTTCCTTTTTCATTCTGGTTTTTGAAGGATTAGCAATAATTTTCTTTTGATCGTTGCTCTTTCTGAATTTCTGAATTTCGGTAAGTTGAAAATCTTTGAAAATTTTGAGCACTTTTTTCCGATTCTAGAAAATTTTGCAATTTCAAAAATCCAAAAAAATAAAATTCGGAATTTCAGAATTCCGAAATTTCAGAATCTCAGAATCCTAGAATCTCAGAATCTCAGAATCTCAGTATTTCAATATCGCAATATCTCAATATCTCAGAATCTCAATATCTCAGTATCTCAAAATTCCAGCTTTTCAGAATCTCAGAATCTCAGAATCTCAGAATCTCAGAATCTCAGAATCTCAGAATCTCAGAATCTCAGAATCTCAGAATCTCAGAATCTCAGAATCTCAGAATCTCAGAATCTCAGAATCTCAGAATCTCAGAATCTCAGAATCTCAGAATCTCAGAATCTCAGAATCTCAGAATCTCAGAATCTCAGAATCTCAGAATCTCAGAATCTCAGAACCTCAGAATCTCAGAATCTCAGAATCTCAGAATCTCAGAATCTCAGAATCTCAGAATCTCAGAATCTCAGAATCTCAGAATCTCAGAACCTCAGAATCTCAGAATCTCAGAATCTCAGAATCTCAGAACCTCAGAATCTCAGAACCTCAGAATCTCAGAACCTCAGAATCTCAGAATCTCAGAATCTCAGAATCTCAGAATCTCAGAATCTCAGAATCTCAGAATCTCAGAATCTCAGAATCTCAGAATCTCAGAATCTCAGAATCTCAGAATCTCAGAATCTCAGAATCTCAGAATCTCAGAATCTCAGAATCTCAGAATCTCAGAATCTCAGAATCTCAGAATCTCAGAATCTCAGAATCTCAGAATCTCAGTATCTGAATATCGCAATATCTCAATATCGCAATATCTCAATATCTCAGAATCTCTTTTCAACTCCTAAGAAACTTCCAAGATCACGAAAAACCTGTTTTACCAAGCTTTTTTCTGAATTCTCAAAGTTCACTTTTTTTTTCATTTTTTCTCAAAACCGTATAGAGAACCAAACCCAATGTCTCTTCAAGAAGTAGGAGCACATTCTATTCCGGAAATTCGACTAAAAGTGGGTGGAGCCTATTTGAGAAGACGTGTGTGTCATAGGAGAGATGAGGCGTAATTGCAAGGAGAAGAAGAAGACATCTTCTTCTTCTTCACATCTAAGCTCCGCCCCTTTTTCTCCTGCTGCTCCGAAGAGCTCCGCATGGCTGGCACGCCCTATGTCCGTCGGTTTTTCTTCTTCGTGCTCCTCACGTTTTAGGACCACAATACTTTTAAGACGAGAAGGAGATGGACACTGGATGGCCAGCTTGCAGTTTTATTTGTTCTGGACCCGTCCCATCTTTTTTTTCCAATTTTGGTGTCACTTTGTGCTCTTTGAAGGGGGGAAAAGTTTCAATTTCCCTTTTGAAAAGTTTTCGGGCTAGAAATAGATTAGGCATGCTTTTTGGAGGTTCTGAAATTTACAAACTTTGTGACTTTGAAATTTTCAAATATAGATTTTCTGGAATTTCTAAATTCTGAGATTTTGAAATTCTAGGATTTTGAAATTCGGTCTTGCAAATCTATAGTTTTGAATTTCTGAAAATCTGAACTTTTTGGCTTTTTGAAATTTTTGGTTTTGGAATTTTCGGACAATTTGGAAATTTTAGAAAATTTAAGAATTTGAAAAATTTTGAAAATCTGAGGTTCCGAAAGATTCAGAGGTTTTCAAAATTCATAGCTTCTGAAATTCCTAAATTCTTCTAGATTCTGAAAAATCCAAATTTTGAGATTCTGAATATTTTTAAGAGTCTATAAACAATAGATTTTTAGATTTCGGAGGTTTAAATTTTTCAATATTTCAGAAACGAATTTTTGAGATTCTAAAATTCTGAGATTCTGAAATTCTGAGATTCTGAAATTCTGAATTTCTGAGATTCTGAGATTCTGAGATTCTGAGATTCTGAGATTCTGAGATTCTGAGATTCTGAGATTCTGAAATTCGGATATTTTGAAATTCTGAGATCCTGAGATATTGAGATTCTGAGATATTGAGATTCTGAGATATTGAGATATTGCGATATTGAGATACTGAGATTCTGAGATTCTGAGATTCTGAGATTCTGAGATTCTGAGATTCTGAGATTCTGAGATTCTGAGATCCTGAGGTTCTGAGATTCTGAAATTCTGAAATTCTGAAATTTTAAGATTCTGAAAATCTGCAAATCTGAAATTCAAAGTTTTCCCACGAAACAATTTAATTTTCAGCTCAAATTTTCCATTTTAAGTTTTCCAGAATTCACAAAAAATGTGAGAATTTTCTAGCATTCTGAATTCCAAGAATTTCAGCAAAAAAACATTTTTCCAGAACTGAACTTTTTTTCTTAATTTCCGGTATTTTTCTAGATTTTTGTTGCTTTAAGTTATTTTCAGATTTTTGAAACTCTGGAATTTTCGAAAATAGTTTAAAAAATGTATATTTTTTTAGGTCAGTGCCAAATTTTTTTTTCGAATTTCCCCAAAAAAATTCCTAGTCTCTTGTTTTTCAAAATTTGATTTTCCTCTAATTGCCTTGTTCTCTCTTCCTCTTTTTTTCGTTTTTTTTTGTTCCTTGTTTTTCAATTTTCTAGGTTTTTTGGGATTTTTTAGATATTCTTGGAATATTCTAAATTGATTTTTATTTATTCTAAGCTCAGTCCGGTGGCGTTTGCTAAGCGAGTAGGAGCGATTCCTTATGATATTCTGATCCCTCCCACTTGACCTACAGGACTCTAGAGTCTGGTCATTTTGCTTTTTTTATTTGTACAGGTCCCATTTCTTGCCAAATTATCTATCGATTTCCCCCCCATGCATTGCAAATGAATATATTATTATTATTAAATGGTTCAGATTTTGGCTGAAATGCGAGGCTATTTTCTCGCTATTTTCAGTCATTTTTCAATTTTTTTTTCAAATTTAACAAATCGATTTTTTCCAGAAACTTCCAGAAAAAATGGACACACTATTATGGTACGCAATCGCTGAACTCCTACTTTCTATTCACATTTCATTTTCGAACTTGTTGGTTTTATGGGTTTATATCAGGTGAGAGATTTTTTTTAATTCGAAAAAGAATTTCAAAATTTTCGAAAACATTTATTTTCGAATTTTTCGAAAAATAAAAAAAGGTCCCCAGAGATTTTTTGTACATGTACACCTATTTTAAAATGGGTTCCATTTAAATTGGAACCCAATTTTAGAGACCAATTCCCTTTTTTGAAATGGATCCTCTAGAATTTTCTATTTTTGGAATTTTCTATTTTCAGTGATTTAGGGGATCAGAAATTGATTCAAAAATGTCTTTTTTTCCAATTTATAAAATTCTGTTTCTCAGGTCAAAACATGTTCGGACGGTTACAAACACATACATATTCTCACTGGCACTCACTGATTTTTTGGCAGGTTTGTATTTTTTTTTAATTTTGGAATTTCAGAATTTCTGAATCTCTGATTTTCTGAATTTTAGAATTTTAGAATTTTAAAATTTCAGAATTTTAGAATTTTAGAATTTTAGAATTTTAGAATTTTAAAATTTTAGAATTTAAGAATTTTAGAATTTTAGAATTTTAGAATTTTAGAATTTCAGACTTTTAGAATTTTAGAATTTTAGAATTTTAGAATTTTAGAATTTTAGAATTTTAGAATTTTAGAATTTTAGACTTTTAGAATTTTAGAATTTTAGAATTTTAGGATTTTAGAATTTTAGAATTTTAGAATTTTAGAATTTTAGACTTTTAGAATTTTAGAATTTTAGAATTTTAGGATTTTAGGATTTTAGAATTTTAGAATTTTAGAATTTTAAAATTTCAGAATTTTAGAATTTTAGAATTTTAGAATTTTAGAATTTTAAAATTTTAGAATTTAAGAATTTAAGAATTTTAGAATTTTAGAATTTTAGAATTTTAGAATTTTAGACTTTTAGAATTTTAGAATTTTAGAATTTTCGAATTTTAGAATTTTAGAATTTTAGAATTTTAGAATTTTAGACTTTTAGAATTTTAGAATTTTAGAATTTTAGGATTTTAGAATTTTAGAATTTTAGAATTTTAGAATTTTAGACTTTTAGAATTTTAGACTTTTAGAATTTTAGAATTTTAGAATTTTAGAATTTTAGAATTTTAGAATTTTAGACTTTTAGAATTTTAGAATTTTAGAATTTTAGACTACTGAAAAAGTACGGAAGTTTTCTGATTTCAAATCAAATTTTGAAGGTGGGCCCTTCTATTATAGGGGCCCTTCTATCACAGGGAACCCTTCTATTTTTCCAAGCCCCTCTCAGAGGGCCCTTCTATCAGAGGGGCCCTTCTATTAAAGGGGGCCTTCTAATACAAGTTTTACGGCATTCAAAATTTCACTGTTTTTGAGTTTTTTGATTTTCAAATCTTTCCGCGCTTTTTCCCATTGTGACTCATATATTTCTTTCTCTTATTTGTCTCTCCACTTCATTCATCTCAAAAATCACACGTGTCAAATTGACCGAAATTTTGTATTATTTGTTCTCGCCTTTTTGCAAAAAAAAAAGAAAAAGTTGTCAATTTTTTTGAGTAAAAAGGGGGAGGAAATAGGAATCCGAAAAGAAAAAAAAAGAAGATGATATTGCTCATCTTATATCTTCTCGACATACGTAAATTTTTTTTGTGTTTGGATGGAGAGTCATGAGTATACGTATACTAGATGAGATTTTTTTTTATTCTGAAGAAAAAAGAAAAACTACAAAATATTTTTTGGGAAGGGAATAGAGGGAGGATGAAGATCAAAAATTGGAATTTTCGGGTTTTTGAAAATTTGAAAACAAACTGTTTTTAGAAAATTTAGGAAGCTTTCAGAAGAAAAATATGCTCCTTTTTTGGATTTGAAATGTTTAAAAGTTTCACATTTTTCTCTTTTTTTTATTTTTGAAATTTTTCAGGAGAAATCAAGGTTTCTGTATCCCAGAAACCCAGAATCAAAGAATCTCAGAATCTCAGAATCTCAGAATCTCAGAATCTCAGAATCTCAGAATCTCAGAATCTCAGAATCTCAGAATCTCAGAATCTCAGAATCTCAGAATCTCAGAATCTCAGAATCTCAGAATCTCAGAATCTCAGTATCTGAATATCGCAATATCTCAATATCGCAATATCTCAGAATCTCAGAATCTCAGAATCTCAGAATCTCCGTATCTCAGAATCTCAGAATCTCAGAATCTCCGAATCTCAGAATCTCCGAATCTCAGAATCTCAGGATCTCAGAATCTCAGGATCTCAGAATCTCAGAATCTGAAAATCCCGAAAATTCAGAATCTGAGGAATTTCAGAACCTCAAATTCTCAGAATCTCAAAATTCCAGCTTTTCAGAATCTCAGAATCTCAGAATCCCAGAATCCCAAAACCAGAACAATCGTAAAATTTCCAGGCGCCCTCGGCATCCCTCTCACCGTCGTTTCCGTGATGACTCGAAAGCCTCGAACATTCTACGGATGTCTGTTTGTTCACCTAATCCTCTGCATTCTATGTACTATTTCTACATTTCATATGTTGGCAATTGCAATCGATAAATATGTGACGATTTGTTGCAGAGATCGAATTTTTTCCTCACGGTGAGTCTTTTTTTTTGATAAAAAATCTTTTTGGGTTTCAAAACATACAAAATTTTCATCAATTCTGTCAAAAAATCGCATTTCTAGCGCTTCTAGGAACCGAAATAGAGCCGCTTCAAGTTTAGGAGGCTAGAGACGCAGACGACGAGACACGTTTGTAAGTCTGTCTTATGCTCTCTGAACTTTTCAAAGTGATAGAAAATTAGACAGCCAAGCTCGACTCCTGAAAATGGTCTAAAACCAACGGAAAATAATTTTTGTACATCAAATTGCTCTGAAAATAACTTATAAATGGTTCTAAAAATTCCGATAACACTTTGTTTTGACTTCTACCCTTATCACTTTGTAGTGTAAAATGAGATATTCAAATTCGCCTGGAAATTTTAGAGAGACGCAGAGAAAAGAGTGTGAACCACTCGGCCGTACACACGTAAGCAAGATACATACAAATTGTAACACATTTTCAATGAATACGACAAATTGGAGTGGACTGGATTGCTCAGCACTAAATGTATGCTGAGCAAAATTCTGGAGGGATTTGAGAATGTTAGAGTGTCGGAATTTGGAAAATGTTAAAACTAGGAGAAACTTTGAAAATCAAAATATCTGAAATTCAGAAACTCTGAAACTCTGAAGCTCTAAAATTCTTAAAATCTCATATTTCGAAAAATCGAGATTGGATATTCTGAAAATCTGAATTTTCAAAAAAACTGAAAATCTGAAGTTCTGAAGTTCTGAAATTGTGGAAATTCCGGAAATTCTAGTATTCTAAAAATCTGAGATTCTGAGATTCTGAGATTCTAAGATTCTGAGATTCTGAGATTCTGAGATTCTGAGATTCTGAGATTCTGAGAATCTGAGATTCTGAGATTCTGAGATTCTGAGATTCTGAGATTCTGAGATTCTGAGATTCTGAGATTCTGAGATTCTGAGAATCTGAGATTCTGAGATTCTGAGATTCTGAGATTCTGGGATTCTAAGTTCCGAAATTCTGAGATTCTTGATCTCTGAAATTATGGTTTTCCGAATTTTAAAATTTCGATGAATTCCGAAATTTTGTGAAATCTGGAAAACTGAAGTTCTGGAAAACTCAAAATCTGAAATTTCAAAAATCTGAAATTCCGTGTTCCTAAATTTTGGAAACCTGACTTTAAATTTTTTTGAATTTTCAATTTTTTCGAATCTCTGAAAATCCTAATCTCCAAATTCTGAGAATATGCTAGCTGTTTTTAGAAATCAATTAAGAATTTTTATTTTGAAAATCAGATTTCACAAAAAAAAACTAAGAATATCTGAAAATATGCCCACAAATTTGAGAAAAAACTTTTTTTGCAAATTTCTTCATAGTTTCCAAAACCTCTAAAAAGGATTCCAGATGACTCAAAACTTTCCAAATTACGTGAATTTTTGGTCCCTGAAAGGACCAAAAATCCCCCAGCCCCGAAATCTTTGTTTGTTTAAGGAAATGGATGCAACTTTTTCTTTTTTTTTCTTCCTCTTTCTTAAAATTTTTTCGAGAAAATTTTCTCGCAGAGGGACCTACAAAAAAGGAACAAAATTTGATACTTAAATTCTAGAGGAAATTTCGCAGAAATTCAATTTCCCGCCACTCTTTCTCTGCGTCTCCAAATTTGATGAGCTATTTTTCAGAATTGAAATTTTGCACGTATCATTTAAGGAAAAGGTTCTAAATTGAATTTTTGTGGGTTTTTTGGTCCCCTTTTTACCTAAAAAGAGCCCAAAATCGGAGAGAGCCAAATCAGCTCGGGACCACGTGTTTTTGGTGCAAAGTTCAGTTTGTTTTCTGTTGTCCCAAGGTTTTTGTGTGGATCGGTGGAGAAACTTTTTTTCAAGAAAAAAAGAGCAAAAAGGAGGGGAAAATGGCTCGAGGCGATTTTTTGTTTCCACTTTTTTTTTGGAGAATATGGGTGCACGTATTCTACACTTATGATCATGGGAAAATGAAATATAAGCATTGGGACATAAAAAGCACAAAGAACTGAAAAAAAGAACAACCTGAAAGTTGAACTTCGAGCAATGTCTGAAAAGTCCGAAGGTCTGAAAATCTGAAAAATGATCTTTTTCATATAATTTTCGAGTTTTCAAAAGATTCTGAGGAATTCTGAGATTCCGGGATTCTGGGATTCCGGGATTCCGGAATTCTGAGATTCTAGAATTATGGGATTCTGAAATTCAGAAATTCAGAAATTCAGGAAATCTGAAATTCAGAAATTCAGAAATTCAGAAATTCAGAAATTCTGATAAATTCTGAAATTCTGAAATTCTGAAATTCTGAAATTCTGAAATTTAGAGATTCGGAAATTCGAAAATTCAGAAATTCTGAAATTCAGAAATTTAGAAATTCAGAAATTCTGAGGAATTCAGAAATTCGAAAATCCAGAAATTCTGATAAATTCTGAAATTCTGAAATTCTGAAATTTAGAGATTCGGAAATTCGAAAATTCAGAAATTCTGAAATTCAGAACTTTAGAAATTCAGAAATTCAGAAATTCTGAGGAATTCAGAAATTCGAAAATCCAGAAATTCTGATAAATTCTGAAATTCTGAAATTCTGAAATTTAGAAATTCAGAAATCCAGAAATTCTGAAATTCTGAAGTTCAGAAATTCGAGATTTCTGTAATTCTGAAACTTTTAAATTCTGAAATATTTAAGCTTTTAAAAATTCGAAATTTCGGAATTCTGGATTTCTTGAATTTTGGAATTCCGATATTCTTTTAAATTTGAAAAATTCTCGAATTCCGAAGATTAAAAATTTTAAACTTCTGAAGTTTTTTAGATTTTTAATTTTTTCTCAGCATTTTCAAATAACATTCGATATTCAAAAAATTAGAATTCCAGAATTTCAAATTCATGTTTAGCAATACAACATTTTTAGGGAATTCGAAAATTCAAAAAAAAAAGAAAAATTCAAATTTCATGAAAAAGGTTTTTTGAGTTTTTTCAAATTTGAAAAATTCCGAAAAATTTTAGAATCCTCTTAAAATTCCTTATATTTCTAATTTTCTTACATTTTATGACTCATAAAAAGTTTTTGATCCTATTTTTTCCCATTTCTCTTTTTCAAAAGTCTGATGTCTTGTTCCACTAAAAATTACTTTTTCTATTGAAACTTTGCATCCTTTTCAGAGATTTCATATTTTGCAAAACTTTCTAGAATTCTCGATTTCCTTTCACCACGTCTTCTCTCCCCACTAATTCAAAGATGTCATCTGGATGAGAATCTAAAAACAGAAAAAAACAATAATTCAAATTTATTTTCCATCGAAAATATCCGTCTTTTCGTGCGCATTTCCGCTCGGAAACTTGAAGGAATTGAGCTAATTTCGAATGACTAAAAATATGGAGAAACTTATTTTCAAATTTATTCAAAGGGAACTAAATCTTATCCAACATAAAAAAATTGTGAAAATTAGAGTAAAAAAACAAAAAAAAACAACTGAAATATTGAGAAAATGGATTAAAATAGCCTCAAAATGCTGAAAATCGATTTGAAGTATCAAAAAGCTTTGAGAAACTTCTAGATCATTCCAGATCTTCAACATGGTTACAGATTTTTAATTTTCCAATTGTTTTTTTTTCAGACGAAAACGAGCAATCTTCTTGTTGACATGCTCTTGGATACTTGGTCTTCTGGTCGCGATCCTACCACTTTTCAATGTTTTTGGGTTTGCTGAGTGAGTTGTTTTTTGAATTGGGAGATTTTTGGACTTTTAAATTATGAAAATTAAAAAGAGGACTTAAAATTTTAAATGTGTGTTTCAGAGTTAGCAAATTAAAAAAATAAACTTTAAAAAATCCGAATTCCCAAATGTTCGGAATTCCGAGGTTTTCAATTTTTCAATTTTTATAATTTTCCCAGAATTTCGGAGTATTTAAGAATTTGACAAATTTGAACTTTAGAACTTCTGAGCTTTCACAATTTCATAACTTCTAAATTTTCGAATTTCCGTTTTTTTTTAATTTTTAAAAATGAAATGTTGAGATTCTGAAATTCCAGAGTTCTGATATTCGAGGATATCGAACTTCTGAAGTTTTGAATGTTGGAATTTTCAGACGTTTGGATTTTCAGGATCTCAGAATTTCTAAAATGCTGAAACGTTGACAATTTTCCTTCAGCTAGATGTGCTTTAATTTTTCTTCTTCTCCCCAGTAATTAACTCTAATTAATTGCCCATGACTTCTTCTAATTCTGCTAATTACTCCTGCAAACACACTATACTATTCAAATTCCCTGGAGAGACTTCAGTGGTCGGAATTTTAAAAAATTCTTGTTTTGCATTTTTTTTGATTAGGGAGTGTTAATTTAAAAAAATTACATTCCAAGTTTCAAAACTTCAGTCCCTTCATTCAAACCTTTTCTTTAAATTCAGGATTTTCCCAGATATCACATGTTTTCCATTAGTGTCTCATTAAAACAATAAGGACCCTTTTTTCAAAAATTAACTTGCCTGATTCGGAAATTTCTGGAGAAACAACAGAAAAGGAATAGAGAGAATTTGGTGATTGATCAGTGAAAATTAGAATAAAATTTGGGCAAGGAAGCGATCTCTGGAATAGGAAATTTTGCAAAAAAAAAAATGTAAATTTTGGGCTGGGAAATGATTTTTCAAAAACTGAAACATCAGATTCTGAAATTAATTTCAAAAAGAAATTTTCGATTTTCTTGTTAAACTATTCTCTCCATGACTCACCAAAAATTAATTTCACATCCCCTAATCCCAAGTTTTTTTTTCATTTTCTAAGAATTCTGAATTTCCGTTTTCTCTAAACCAATCCATCATTTAATTTCCTCGTTTAGCATCATTTTTCCAATCGTATTCTGGTCGTACTTTACGTTTTTTTCGAGCCATCGGAAATTAGTAGTAGCCAGAGAGAAGACGAATTTGACTTTTTAATCAAGCTTCTGGAAGGATGGAAGAGTTGTATAGAATCAAACTATCAAATTTTCAAAAAAAGAAGGGAAAAGGATCAGAAATGAATTTTTCCTTTGGCGAATGAGCTGAAAAAAATTCAATTTAAAAATGAAGAATGTTGGATTGTAGAAATGAAAATGATTCGTAGAAATTTTGAAAATTCAAAAAATTCAAAGGTTGTGAATTCTAGAACATGGATACTTTTGGGAATTCAAAGTCCATGGTTTTGCAAAATTGGGACATTGAACATTAGGAAATTTACTGTACATTAGGAAACTGAGATTCTGAGATTCTGAGATTCTGAGATTCTGAGATTCTGAGATTCTGAGATTCTGAGATTCTGAGATTCTGAGATTCTGAGATTCTGAGATTCTGAGATTCTGAGATTCTGAGATTCTGAGATTCTGAGATTCTGAGATTCTGAGATTCTGAGATTCTGAGATTCTGAGATTCTGAGATTCTGAGATTCTGAGATTCTGAGATTCTGAGATTCTGAGATTCTGAGATTCTGAGATTCTGAGATTCTGAGATTCTGAGATTCTGAGATTCTGAGATTCTGAGATTCTGAGATTCTGAGATTCTGAGATTCTGAGATTCTGAGATTCTGAGATTCTGAGATTCTGAGATTCTGAGATTCTGAGATTCTGAGATTCTGAGATTCTGAGATTCTGAGATTCTGAGATTCTGAGATTCTGAGATTCTGAGATTCTGAGATTCTGAGATTCTGAGATTCTGAGATTCTGAGATTCTGAATGTTTTTTTTCAAAAATTTAACATTTCAGAACTCAATCGCTATTCGTGAAAAATGGAGAAATGTGTTATTTCACAATGGTCGTCGACTATCGATATTTAGTTTATGTCATCTTTTTCTCAACAATTCTGGCGCCAACTGCAATTATTGTGCTACTGTATTCAAGTATCTACAGTAGGATACGCACCGAGGAAAAGCAGGTAGCCAAAAATTCAAAAGTATTTTTAAAAAATCTAAAATCTTTCAGGTGAAATGTCTGCTCAGACAATCGGAAAGAGAACGAAGAATGGCTGGAAGAAGGAAGTTGATACGGATTCTATTGATTTTGGTCGTTTCTTATGGAATTTGTTGGTGAGTTCGGGATTTTTAGGAATTTTCGGAAAATTTTTAATTTAATTTTATTTAATTCGTAGCTCAAAATTGGAATTGTCTGGTATTGTATAATTTTCGAATAATTGCCTTGATTCTGAGATATTCAGAATCTCAGAATCTCAGAATCTCAGAATCTCAGAATCTCAGAATCTCAGAATCTCAGAATCTCAGAATCTCAAAATCTCAGAATCTCAGAATCTCAGAATCTCAGAATCTCAGAATCTCAGAATCTCAGAATCTCAGAATCTCAGAATCTCAGAATCTCAGAATCTCAGAATCTCAGAATCTCAGAATCTCAGAATCTCAGAATCTCAGAATTTCAGAATATCAGAATTTCAGAATCTCAGAATTTCAGAATTCAGAATTTCGATTTTCAAATTTCCAGGTACCCTCTCTACATCATCAACACAATCGACTATTTTTGGCCTCAATTTTCAATCAACTCATTGACATTATGGACCGTAATTATGTCCCACATGTCATGCGCCCTAAACCCACTAATTTATGCCTACGGTATGCCAGGATTCAAGAAGGTAATTAAACTAATTGGTCCAGACTTATTATTTAACTCTTCAGGCTCTCCGAGCATTCTTCAACATCCAAACGGACGCTAACACCTGTGCCAACTACTCTTGCTATATGAGGTAAGATTTTTGAAAAATTTTGGTCCATAGATCGATTTTTCAGTTTCAGATCAACTGGAAATCAGAAGCAAAGAAGTATCAGTGTACGTGGCATGCCTTATGAGCACTCTTTGGCGGCAATTCGAAAAATTAGTGCTCCAACGCCTGTGATGATCGATAGACATCGCTCTAGGAGGAGACAAACTGTCGATCATATTGATTTATGATTTTTTTTGATTTGGCGCGAATCTTGAATTTTCATGTTCTGAAATTTTTTATCCTATTTTTTTGGATTGCTCCCTCTAATATGTTTTTCTACAACCTCAAAAATCCCGAAATGTCTTTCAAATTCTTCGTTTTCTCTCCTCCTCTTCTGCTTATATCAATTTTTCTGCTTTATGATGCTTATTTCTATGTACTGGTATTTTTTTTCTCTCAGTTTTCTCTCTTTTTCGATCCTCCAAAAAATTTTAACTTCGATCTCCCTGTCTTTTTTAGAAATTTGATTTTGATGTGATTTTTTAAGTTAATAAATAGTTTTTGATTGTATTAAATTTTATCTGAAACGTTGATTTTGGAATGTTTTGAATTTTAGAGAACCTGAAACTTTAGAATTCTGGGATTCTGGAATTCCGGGATCCTTGGACTTCTGAGTCTCCAGAACTTTGATATTTCATGATTCTGAGATTTGAAGATCCTCAAAATTTAAGTAGTTGAGAAAATGGCTCTTTTCTAGTTTAGAGGTCCCAAGAAAAAATAGAAGTCCGATATTTGAAAAACGCGCATGCATTAGAATAATGTGCCAGAATTTGGAGTTTTGAGGCTCTCTAGGATGATAAGAGCGGAAACGTGACTTCTCCTGATAGCATTGACTTCATTTCTTTTTTGTCTTTCTTATGGACCCCAATTTACATATAAGCAAAATGTCGGCAAACAGTAATGGGCTTAGATAATTTTCAGAAAATATGCATCTCAAAGTATAAAATATATAGTCAACACTTATTTTGTTAATAAGTCCACATAATTTTAATTTCTTACACAGTTCAAATTCTGTTACACTGTTCCAATATCTGTGCGTTTTTCAAGTATCGGACCTCTATTTTATTTTCGGACCTCTAATTTTTTTTCGGACCTCTAATTTTTTTTCGGACCTCTAATTTTTTTTTGGGACCTTTAAACTAGAAAAGAGCCGAGAAAATTCAGAAAAAAGTGTAAAACCTCATCACAATGTGAATCCACTGTATTCCCTCTAATAGAAGCCCACCCGAACCGTGGACTTTGAGCTCAATTATTTCAATTTTTGTAAAAGGTATCAAATTTTGTCAACTGCTAGAATATTGGTGATAAATTGATAAACAATTTATCAGTTGATAAGTTTTTGATATCGTTAACAGGAATTGCGATAATTGAACTCAAACTTTTGCAGAGATCATGTTACAGGAAATACGGTACATGACAATGAAAATGATGATAATGATAATGATGACAATGACAATGAGCGCATAGACTCCGCCCACTAAAATTCTCCCTATAAATACAGGCAGGTCCAATAGTATTCATTCCATTCCTCCTTCTGCCCTCTCTATATATTCATCCAGACGATCTTCTGTATGAACGTCGGAAATATATATATATATTCCTTCTGCTTTTCCTGAAATTATTCAGTCTACATCTATTCCGTTTTTCTGTCTAGAACATGATACGCCTCTGTTTCTTTGAGGTTACCGTAGTTTTCGTGGTAGGACCCAGCATTCCAAATGGTTGCCAGTCGTCAGAGTGATCAGAGGTAAGAACAAGAACTAGGTGACTGTTTTCATTTGGTTTTTGGTCGTTCGGATCATTTTCAGGAGTCTGGGGCTTGGCCTTTTTGAAAATTCCTTGTTTGTTTTTTTTTCACGTTTCAATGCAAAAATGTGCTTGACAGTCGAGACCCCTGTAAATGACCAAAAATCAACTGAGACGTTGTAGACTGGTACTGTAGGTGTGTGTTTCTGTTTTTTCTTACACTATTGTTCGTAATGATATTTATTTTTCAGACTTATGGTGAAACGAGCTTCGAACAGCTACAAGACATTCTGGACCGGATTGAAGTGTTCTGATGGATATCGGTTCGGGATTTGGGCACGATACTTGAGTCGATTTTCCGAAGAGAAGTGAAGGATACGTCGACTCTGAGTCAACTACTTTCGCCACATATTCGTCAAGGAGAACAGAAAGTTGATCGGATTTATGAGCTTCTCATTGAAAAACTTTATGAAGAAGATGAAGAGAGTGTGCTCCTGGTTGCAGATCCATCCCACGATTTGCAAACATTGCGAGGCACAAAACGTTGAGAAGCCGGAGCTGAGATTGCCGCACATCCGAGTTCACCTTGTACACAACACTCGCTTCGTCGACCTTATTTCAACTACCATAAAGGAAGAAGCAATGCGTTTTGTCCGGATTGCAGCGAACTCCATATTCCAACCTTCTCCGGTTCTCATTTCTTGGTCAGTGTCCACCACCACAAAACTTCCTTCGAGGGAATGACCAACCGAGTGGGCATCTTCAATGCCGATCACAATTTGGGATATTTAGTCCAATTCATTGCTCAGGATGACGACGAGATGGTAGAGTAGCATTGCGTTTTCTGGGTGCGAGATGGTGACCAATGGCTATGTCCGAAGAATGATGTCGTTTTGGAGAAGAAAGAGATCGTTGAAGTCCACAGTATGACCGTATCTTTGATGGTGTTCGAGAAGATCAAGTAATAATAATTCAACTTTTTACTATTTTTCGAAATGGGTTTCTAAAATGTTTTTTCTTAATTCCATGATTTTAACCAAAGAGTTTAATAAAATTCAAAAATACAATTTCTTTTCAAATTCATATCTAATCATCACAAAGTTATTACGAATTACAGGTTACAGATTTACAGATTTTCAGAGGATTAAAAAAGCTGTGTTTTAAAAATAAACTTCATTTTCCCCGTTCCGTCCAATTGGGTGAAATGTGATGTTTGAAAAAAAACTCTTTTTTTTTGAAATTCTTAATTTCTGAAAAACTTTGAAATTTATGTTTTCTCGGAATTATCTAGTTCAGTAGTTGATTCGCGTGTTCCATCGAAATTCGAGTGATCATGCTCATTGTCACGGTGTGATCTACCTTATTCCTTCTAATAAAAGCCCACACCAAAACCGTTGACTTTTGAGCTCAATTATCTCGGATCCTGTAGAAGATATCACAAATTTGTCATTTGATAAAATGTTTCGCTTCTGTTGACCATTTGTTTTTTTTTCCTAAAAGCTAATTTCTTCAATAAACTTGTAACAGTTGAAAAGAAGCATTTTAAGAAAATTGGAAAATGTGAAAATATGAAAAACATAACTCAAAACCCATCCAGGGGGTGGAGGAATTCGGAAAAGTTTTTTTTTTTGAGAGAATCCCACTTTCATTTTCCAACCATTTTTTTCCGAAAATTTTTTTTTTTCAACAGCATCGAATTCTTGAAATTCGGGTCCTTCTATTAAATGGGCCCTTCTATTAAAGGTGTCCTTCTTATACAAATTTTAAAGAAATAAGCCAAATTGAGATTCTAAAAATGAATAAATTCAGAAATTTGGAAAACAAAGAAACCGTTCTTCAGGAAAAAGATCACTGTCATACAACAAAATGAAACTAATTAACATGTGAATCCACTGTATTCCCTCTCATAGAAGCCCATCCCAACCGTCGACTTCGAGCTTAATTATCTCGATTCATGTGAAAGATACATGGAATTTGTCATTAATAAAATTTTGGTGGTATTATGATTAACAATCAGTTGAACATTTTTCAATATCTATAACAGGAAGCGAGATATTTAAGCTCAAATTTGGCCGTTTGGGTGGGACTCTATTAGAGGAAAAACGGTACATGACACTGAAAATGATGATAATAAACAGGATGATGACAATGAGAATGATGACAATGACAATGATGACAATGAAAATGAGTGAATAGACTCCGCCCCCTAGAATTCACCTATAAATACCAGCAGGTCCACTGGGTATTCATTCCATTCCTCCTTCTCCCCTCCCAATATATTCCTCTAGACGATCTTCTGTATGAACGTCGGAAATATATATTCCTTTTGATTTTCCTGATATTATCCTGTCTATTCTACTATTCTCTATAGAATCCTTTAAATTTGGGTTACGGTGGTTTTTTGACCCACTCTCCACAAATGGTGTGTTTGCAATGGACCTCGACGAGTCACACGGTAACGATTAATATTTTCCAATTGTTTCAACAGTGACCTATTTTCAGCATTACTGCTTGCATTCCAATGGGTACGACAACGTATTCAGGCCATTTCCTGTTTACCGCTCCACTTGATGCAATTCTGGAAATCGGCGGACAGCAGTTCCATGGTCGCCACGATGAATTGCAATTGCATCCAATCAAGTTGTCCGAAGAACTGCCACCCCACCTTACCCATGAAGAAGTGGACGAAATTGAAAAAAAATTTGCCGAGATGGAAAAAACTGGATGAACTCCACCCATCAGGCTGAACCAAGAAATACAAACGATTCTTCCGCAGGTGGATGACTGGATCAGCGCAAAAGACTCGAACACTTGCACGTTATCACTGCCGATCATGAAATCAACGAAGTTGTCCTATTGAGAAAGGGTTCACTGTCATGCGACGATGGAAGTTTACCGTAAGCAACCAAACCGAGCTGGATACCTCCACCAGCAGATTGTGACCAGAACAAAACGCGAAAGGACTTGTATCGTGCGAAGAGATGGAACCAAAGAAATCGTGACTGTAGAGGATAACTATAAATTGCATATGCATCCAATCAGGCTGTCCGAGGAACTTCCACCTTACCCATAAAGAAGTGGACGAAATCGAAAAGAATTTTTGTTTTTTCTTCATTTTCTTATTCTTCAATTATCCCTTCAGTATTCCCTTCGTTATTTTTCCCATTATATTTCATCACAGTGTCGAAATAAATATATTTTTATCTAATGTACTGGAAATTACAAACTTTTATAATAGACAAACAATCTTAATTTCGCAAATCGAAAAAGAATGAAAAGAAGTAGAAAGTGAGAATCTGAAATTCTAGAACCTCGGAATTTTTAGATTCTAAAAGTCTGGAAATTCGGAGAAAATTCGAAAGTTGAAATTCAAGTAAAAATTATTTATTAATTAAAAAAATCATCATTATCAGAGTATTTCCGACATGATAAACAAAAGTATTTCAGTTCGAAAACGTCAGTAAAAATTTAAATTTTTTCGGAAATTTGAAAAATTATAACAAAGGTATAATTGCTCTGAAAAACTGGAAAATTTTGAAAAAATAATCGAAATTTATGATTTTTATTATTCCAGAATTTCAAATGTTCAAAAATTTAGATTTCCAAGTTTTCAGAGCTTCTGAATGTTTGAAATTTTGAGTTTTTGAATAGAATTTAATTTCTAGAAATGGGACATTCGCTCACCAGTGTTGATTCTTCAAATAAAATGAAATTTCAGTAAAAAAATGTTTCAGAATTAAATTTTTTAAAAACATTATTGTAATAATCATAAAAATCAAAATAAAAAGAGACCGGTAAAAGACATCCAGCCAAAAACATTTTTTAAAGAATATAAATAAACTCTTCAAGCGATGGACCACATTTTATAGTGATTCTGGAGGTCAACTAAAACGAAAAGGAAGAGAAAAAATCCAGTTTTAGAAAAGGTAAGGGGAAAAGTCCCATTTTTGATCTAGATCAGAGATGAGCGGAATAGAAATTTTGAAAATCCGGAAGAAGGAATAAGGAATAAATGTAAAAAATTTAAAATCCGGAAGAAGGAAGAAGGAAGAAGGAACAGAATTTCGAAATCCGGAAGAAGGAATATGGAATAAATGTAAAAAATTAAAAATCCGGAAGAAGGAAGAAGGAAGAAAAAATGAAAAAAACACCCATGAATTTCAGAGAATTCGAAAATTTCAAAAAAAATTCAAAAATTGAGTTTTAAAAAATTACCTTGAGTTCATAGAGGCAATATCTTCTTATTATTCCATTAAGTTCAAAGTGTTGCAGGAAATCTGAAAAACATTGAAGTTCGGAATTTTGAAACAAAAAATTACTGATTTCGTTTTTTTTTTTGAATTTCACAGAAATTCAGAAATTCGGGAAGTCCGAACCACAGAACATTTTCGATATTCAGAAAAGCTATAGAACTTCACAAATTCTATAAAGTGAAAAAAAATACGGTAAAACCTGTATCAGAAGGACCCCTTTAATAGAAGGGCCGCCGTAATAGAAAGGCCTTCTGTGAAAAAAGATCTCCCTCAAAATGTGTTTTGAAATCAGAAAATTTCCGTTCTTTTTCAGTGGAAAAAGAGACAGGTAAAAGGCACCCAGCCAAAAATATTTTTTAAAGAATATAAATAAACTTTTCAAGTGATGGACCACATTTAATAGTGATTCTGGAGTTCAATTAAAACGAAAAGGAAGAGAAAAAATCCAGTTTTAGAAAAGATAAGGGAAAAAGTCCCATTTTTGGTCTAGGTAAGAAAAAAAAAGATTGATGGGGTCAGAAAATCTTCTTTGTTTTTTGAAAACTTAAGAATATCGAACTATTTTTTTTAGAATTTGAATCTCTGAAATTCTGAACTTCAGAAATTCTGGAACTCTCAACTTCCGAATTTTTGAGCTTTGAAGATTTAAAAATTCTGAAGTTAACTATTGAGTGGTTTTTATTTTTCTGTAAATCCAAACATTTTCAGTATGTTGTTCTTTTTTTGCTGTGAAATATAGATAGTTTTATCTGAAATTCTACTGAATCCGATGATTATAGATTCCGAAATTCTGACATTCTGAAATTCCGAAAAATCAATATTCATAAAATACTATTCATTTATACAAAAAACGGTGTTCATAGTGGTTCCTACAGGTGAACCCCTAAAAAATAAAAATTTTAAAAGCTTGAATATTCACAACAAGATAAATAAATGAAAACTTAATTGAAAAATAAAAATAAACTAATTAGAGAAATTAAATTATAAATTTAAAAAAACACTTTTTTCCGGAAGGGAACTCCAAATGGAGATTGGGAGTTGTGCTAATGATCTGAAAATTGGAGTTTTGTTTTTCAAATTTATAAACTTTTCATGAATTTCAGAAAATTCGAAAATTTCAGAAAAAATTCAAAAATTGAGTTAAAAAAAATTACCTTGAGTTCATAGAGACAATATCTTCTCACTGTTCCATTAAGTTCAAAGTGTTGCAGGAAATCTGAAAAACATTGAAGTTCGAAATTTTGAAAGAAAATTTTTTTTTTGAATTTTACAGAAATTCAGAAATTCGGGAAGTCCGAATCACAGAACATTTTCGATATTCAGAAAAGCTATCGAACTTTACAAATTCTATTAAATGAAAAAAAAAATATACGGTAAAACCTGTATCAGAAGAACCCCTTTAATAGAAGGGCCGCCGTAATAGAAGGCGCCTGTAATAGAAAGGCCTTCTGTGAAAAAAGATCGGCTCTTTATGACAAGGGGGGGGCCCATGAGAAAAGGGGGGGGCCAATGAAAAAAGGGGGGGGGGCCCATGAGAATAGGGGGGGGGGCCAAGTCAAAAGGGGGGACCATGAGAATAGGGGGGGCCCAAGTGAAAAGGGGGGGGGGCCCAAATGGAAAAATTATGCCTAAGTTAAGATTTATCAATTTTTTCAAGTTTTGTGGTTGTTTGCACTAAAATTTCGTGCTTAGAACATTTTTCATAATTTTTTGAAATTTTCAGTTTATGTCATTTTTTGTATAATTATTCTGTTCCTAAGCCTAAATTTATCTAATATTAGCTTAGTAAATTGGAATTACACAGTTACAACAGCAAAAACAGTGTTGTTCATGGAAAAAACGACTTAAAATGAACTTTTTTCGAAGTCATGAATTTTCATGGAAACAAGCGCAAAGCACGAAATTTTCATAAAAACAGTGGCAAAATTTGAAAAAATCAAAAAATCTTAACTTAGGCATAATTTTTACCCATGGGGCCTACAATAACCGAATAGACGAACTGAACTGTTCAAACTGCACTAACTGAACTGTCCCTACTTCTGTTATAGGATGCGCTTCTATGTTTTTAAGCACGTCAGAGAGTGGGCTTCTATTGGAGGTGGGCTTCAAATGGAGGTGGGCTTCTATTTGAGGAAATA